ACGACCAATTCGTCCGAATTTGACGAGTGATTAAAAGATGGCTAATTCGTACGAATTCGTACGACCTCATTCGTACGAATTTGTACGATTTGTCTAAACCCACGTGATGGGTAGGTTTAGGGGCGGGGTCAGGGTCATTCGTACGAATTCATACGAATTGGGCAACTCGTCAAATATGTACGTTTTAGCAAAAATCGTACTAATTCGTACGAGTGAGGTCGTACGAACTGTTACGAATTAGCCATCTTTTAATCACTCGTCAAATTCGGACGAAATTCACACAGATCAAACACAAATATGCTGACTGAATAGATTGCTAGTTGAGAAACACTGCTTTAATTAATGTTTTTATGATGGCTTTGTGAAAGGTTAACTAAACAGCATGAGCCGTCTTCCAGCTGGCCAGTAAGTTATTTGGCAAATTTCATTCTGTAGGCTAACATACAGATCTGTTTTATGCTATTGTTTTTGATAGTGTTATACATTTCTTACAGATAATCGATTGTCATTGCGTTTGTCTTACCGAATGTGGTAGCTTTATGCAATTACAGTTTGTCTATAAGCTTCTTTTTTTTTAAATGTATTAATGCCGACAGTTAAATGTTGCCAGATATTGCTACGAAAAACAAGCAAAACAAAATAATAATAATAATCCGAAATAAGTTCAAAGCTTGTGTTTTGGAAATAAGGTTAATATATCACTAAACCTTCCCACATTAATAACTTCCTAAAGTGTCACATTAAATCAGAAAAACAGGTGACTACTGCCACCTTTCTATTAGGTGGATCTGGCAACACGGAGGCTGCACCCGCGTTCACAACGCGCTCTCAAGCCCCGTTCAGTTCACTGCGCCAGCTTCTCGCAGCAACATGAATTGCAAACACTCATATGAGGTGGTTTAAACACTGCTAATTAATCATTCAGAGAGCTTGACATTTTATTTTTGAATGTAAAAAAAATGACCGAGGTCCGGACCTCGGTGACCTCATAGCTGGCTACGGCCATGGCTGTGGCACGTGTCTGTGAGAGGAGAGAGAGAGTGAACACTGCTCAACTCATCTCTCTCTCCTGCACACTCTCGTACACGTGTGTAAGACGGAGTGAAGAGTGGACAGAGCCTGCTAACTCTTGCGTTTGGGGCACAATCTGTAAAGCTGCATTCATTTGCTTAGATGAAACACTTCCTGCCCGTTACACACTTACACACGTGAAGGAAGTGTTGCAGGAGGAGACCTGGGGTGTGTAAGGGTCCATCTGCAGGGCCCACATGTGGACAGATGACCCAGATGTGATGCTCAGGGCTGGGGCTTTTTTGTTTTGTTTATATATATATATATATATATATATATATATACACTCACCGGCCACTTTATTAGGTACACCTGTCCAACTGCTCGTTAACACTTAATTTCTAAGCAGCCAATCACATGGCGGCAACTCAGTGCATTTAGGTATGTAGACATGGTCAAGACAATCTCCTGCAGTTCAAACCGAGCATCAGTATGGGGAAGAAAGTTGATTTGAGTGACTTTGAACGTGGCATGATTGTTGGTGCCAGAAGGGCTGGTCTGAGTATTTCAGAAACTGCTAATCTACTGGGATTTTCACGCACAACCATCTCTAGGGTTTACAGAGAATGGTCCGAAAAAGAAAAAACATCCAGTGAGCGGCAGTTCTGTGGGCGGAAATGCCTTGTTGATGCCAGAGGTCAGAGGAGAATGGCCAGACTGGTTCGAGCTGATAGAAGGGCAACAGTGACTGAAATAACCACTCGTTACAACCGAGGTATGCAGCAAAGCATTTGTGAAGCCACAACACGCACAACCTTGAGGCGGATGGGCTACAACAGCAGAAGACTCCACCGGGTACCACTCATCTCCACTACAAATAGGAAAAAGAGGCTACAATTTGCAAGAGCTCACCAAAATTGAACAGTTGAAGACTGGAAAAATGTTGCCTGGTCTGATGAGTCTCGATTTCTGTTGAGACATTCAGATGTTAGAGTCAGAATTTGGCGTAAACAGAATGAGAACATGGAACCATCATGCCTTGTTACCACTGTGCAGGCTGGTGGTGGTGGTGTAATGGTGTGGGGGATGTTTTCCTGGCACACTTTAGGCCCCTTAGTGCCAATTGGGCATCGTTTAAATGCCACGGCCTACCTGAGCATTGTTTCTGACCATGTCCATCCCTTTATGGCCACCATGTACCCATCCTCTGATGGCTACTTCCACCATGTCACAAAGCTCTAATCATTTCAAATTGGTTTCTTGAACATGACAATGAGTTCACTGTACTAAAATGGCCTCCACAGTCACCAGATCTCAACCCAATAGAGCATCTTTGGGATGTGGTGGAACGGGAGATTCGCATCATGGATGTGCAGCCGACAAATCTGCGGCAACTGTGTGATGCCATCATGTCAATATGGACCAAACTCCCTGAGGAATGCTTCCAGCACCTTGTTGAATCTATGCCACGAAGAATTGAGGCAGTTCTGAAGGCAAAAGGGGGTCCAACCCGTTACTAGCATGGGGTACCTAATAAAGTGGCCGGTGAGTGTATATATATATATATATATATGTTTTACTTACAGAACCAACAAACAAAGAATCAAATAAAAAGAAAGTAAGAAATTTAACTAATATAGTCAGAATGCTTTCCTCAAAATGTTTGTTTATTTAGCCTCTCCTTTAATTAAATGTGTGTTTATTTTATAAATTTTATATATACCTATCCAAAAAACTCTTATTAACTTAATTTGAGTGATTTTTATCCTCTATTGTTTAATAACGCTATACAATCCAAGCTGTCCCTTACTTTCAGTCAACTTCTCCTGGCTTTTCTTCTGAATAAAACTGTTTATTTCTCTAAACACGTGAAAAAAAAACATAATCGTTATGCATTTATAAATAAAAAATAAATCACTGAGAATTTAAATCAAACATTGTATAGCCTATAGACTCAGAGGATGTCACTATATGAAATTTCATTACTGCCTTGTAAAAAAAAAGTCAATAAGTTATGACAACATATGTTTTTACATTGCTTTAACTCATCAAAATAATTGTTTAAGCAATTTTAACTTTTTTATATCAGTTTTACAAATCTATGACTCATTGACTCATTTTTTTAAGTCAGTTTAATGTAATTTAAGTTGAAATGACTTAAACATCCAAGTTGAATGTCCTTAAAAAATTTAAGGCAGCAACTTTTCTTTTACAGTGTAATTCACTGTGGTACAGAGTTGCTAAATGTTAACTTAATCTGTGAACAAAAATCAAAAGATGCAGAAAAGTGACAGATGATGAGGTGTCATGTGGTTTAAACAGAGCTGGCAAGAACACAATATGTGTTTGTAAATAGCAAAAATGTAAAGGAAAACCTACATAAATGAAAATTCTGACATCATTCACTCGTCCTCAACTTGTTTCGAACCTGAATGAGTTTCTTTCTTTCTGCTGAACACAAAATAATATATTTTGAAGAATGTTGATAACCAGCATTACCAACATTCTTCAGAATACCTTCTTTTGTGTTCAAGAACAAAGAAACTCATACAGGTTTGGAACAACATGAGGGTTGTGAGTGAATGATGTCAGAATTTTCATTTTTGGGTGAACTATCCCTTAAGTATTCTGCAATATTATAGACTGCACTGACACTGTATCTGATGAGAACTGAACTGAGATGGATGATGAGATCGTTGTTTTCTCCAGAGCTGCTTAAAAGCTGAATTGAACTCATTCCATAATTGATGAACTTTACACAGTAATTGAACTCAACCGAATCAACTTCTTTACAGCAGAATTGAATTTTGTTTGCACTCGACTTGATTATGATTCAGATTTTACCATAGATTTTGATTGTGCTATCCCATCATTTGCATTCGTAATGCACGTGAACCCGCAAAATGCTCTACAAGCTTCACTGGCACATGGTGATATTTGAGTCACCCACAGGAGGGCAGCCATTCGCTTAATTTGGACTGAATAATGACCTTACAGCACTGAAATCTGAAAATATATCTGTTTATATATAGAAGATACATTCAAACTCTTTGGTTTTTTTTTTAAACACACAGTAGGCTAGCCAAGGCATACATCCGAATGTGTGTGTGTGCGCTCATGTGAACTGAATGTGTAAGCACGTTCATCACGAGTTCCTTAGGGCACTTTTATGACAGTCATGAGAGCAGCATGTGAAGGATACACTTATAATTGCTTTGTCATAACGAGAGGCAATAATCAGTGCAGATGACATGGTTAACCATTGAGCTCGAAGTTGGGCTACTGGAAAGCCTTTGAGGATGATACCCGGTTCTCCAAAATAAGCAGTTAAATAAATAATAAATAAACATTATTAAATTATTATTACTATTATTTAATAATCGACGTATTTTATGTGTAATAGCTACACCATAAGATATACATAAATAAACTATAAGAAATTGCTGTTTGTTGTATCAAAACTATGTAAAAAAAAATGTATATGTCAAAATCTGTGTATATTAGTCAAATCAATAGAGTTAATTATTATGTTTATTATGTTAATGTTTGCACTTGCAATTATAAGGTGATGTAAATAATAGCCTACTGCATTGTGCACGCGCGCGCTGTACTGCGCATAATCAGCCACGCCTCCTTAAAGCTCGCGACTGCGACTTTAGCTCAAGCCACTCAGTTAGTCACATACAAACGCTCATAAACACAGATTATATGAAATAAGATTAAAACCATCGCGTCAGAAACATTATACAAACGCTGACATTACAACACAGTGAGTCTGAGTTTCATTCGTCTATACGGAGAGTTGTCAAGCTGTGTTTATTTTACGTCAGGTTAGCTTGTTAGCTTATAACTTACAATTGTGGTTTGTTTGACAGAATCTGACAGAAGACAAACATTAACTTACATTCAGTCGAACAGTTTGTTTCAGCCACAATAAACTAGCGCTAGAGATTTCCTCCGACTAAGAGATATTTTTACTTTGCTAAGCTAATTTAATACATTAATTAATAATATGTCTTTATGTACGTGTCTTTTGTGAAACTGTCGTTTATAGATATAAGTTAGCTGGTGGTAAATATCCACAATGGCCTGTCAGGGTCAGATAAACCTCACTTTAACGTCTTTACCATCAGCTATGGCGTATCGTTAGTGTCACTGGAGGCTGTGAGGCTCAAATCTCAGTGTGTTGATAGTTTGAGGCGGTTGTCAGGAGGAAATCCACTATCGGTGTGTCAAAACACATTTTATACTTGCTTGGGCCAAAAGCAAGTTTATTCGTCGCGTTTGGAGAGCACATTCATCATGGCTAAGCTTCAGTCGGGGAACGGAGTGCAGTGGAAGGACAGCAGGAGTCCGCGGGGCACGCCGGAGAATCTGGCCGAGCACGAGAGCTCTTCTCTGGGCTCAGACTCCGAGCTCAACGGGTTCGCCAACACGGAGACCCAGACCGACAGATATGGCTTCATAGGAGGAGCTCAACAGAGCGCAGGAGAAAAGTAAGTGGCGGTCACATTTATGAAGGTAAAAGAAAGACATTAACCATAAATACCTGTCAGTTGTTTGTGCCATAGACTCAGTAACACTTTATACTAACTTTCATTGGTAACAAAACATTTTATTGGACTGCCCTGGGTATAATACAAGTAGAATGCTCTTTTGTGATGTTATTTAGTAAGATTATGCCTGAAAAGGTTTTGGATTTTTTATTATATGTTAGTTAATTGTATTTTTGTAATTGAATTTATCTATCATTGGTAACATTAACAAATATTATTCAGCATCATAAAATACCTAACAGGCACAATAGTTATAACTGTCATGTGATTTGGAAACTTTCACATTTTTGCATATATATATATATTCAAATGTCCTTACTGAGTCCTTATGTGATGTTTGTTAATGACCTATTCATGAAAGTTACTGTGAAGTGTGAAGCATACTGATGTTTTTGTTTTTGAGTTTGTCACATTTTCACACTGCATTAAGTGGACTCTGTGTGGACAGTCTTTGCTGAAAGTCCTCGTCCATGTGAGCGCAGATGAGTGGACAGGTCTTTAACACCGCTAAAGTCCCCAGTGGTTGTTCTTCTTGTTGAGTTCTTCTAAGCCGACTAGCTTTGAGAAGTGCTTGATCAGCTCACGTTCCTCCAGTCATGTAATACCGGACGGATATCGTTATGTAATATCATAAGCTGTGTCTGTATGTTATCATTTGTTTTCCATTTTCTAAGATTTGTTTGTGAATTTACTATTTATTTGGAGGCAATATTTTTGTGGAAACTGTGATACGATTTATTTCAGGATTCTTCGAAAAATAGAAAGTTCAAAAGAACAGCATTTATTTGAAATATCATTTTTTTGTAATATCATTAATGGCTTTGTCACTTTTATCAAATGAATGCATCCTTGTGCAATAAAACTATTAATATCTTTCAAAATAAAAAGCCTTACCCCATACAACTATAGTGTATTAGTCTCAAGACTGGATATATTGTACAAACTAATCTTCACGCCAAATCCATTTATTTATTCTTTAGATCAGTGGTTCCCAAACCTGTCCTCACGGCACCCCAACACTGCACGTTTTCTTTATCTCCCTAATCAAACACACCTGATTCAACTCATCAGCTCATTAACCCATGTGATAATGAGCTGATGAGTTGAATCAGGTGTGTTTGATTAGGGAGATAAAGGAAACGTGCAGTGTTGGGGTGCCGTGAGGACAGGTTTGGGAACCACTGCTTTAGATGATCAAGTAAATTGCCTGTGTCCTCTTCCCATGCTTCTATTACAAACACTTGTCTGTTTTGCATTGACTTACATGAGTGTCTCTTATGGCTCGGGACAATGCAGTTCTGTTTGGCCAAGGAAACATGCACAGATCAAATGAATCTGCTGTTGAATTAATCACAGAAAGGCACATCAGTCCTCTACAGTTCACATGAAGAATCTCCCTTATTCCCTTTGTAACAGAATGTTTCTTTCCAGTCTCTCATTTAGGCTCTCATGCGGGACGTTTCCCTTCTTGCTGTGAACTCCCTTTAGCACTCAGAATGGCTCATTGATTTGTTTAGGCAGAACCTCCCTGCAAGTGTTTTCAGTTGTGAAATAAAACTGCTCAGTGACTCATTCAGTTCATTCTACAGGCAATAGTGTGGCGGTCAGGCGTCAAAATAGTTTTACTTGCTGATAAAATAGCTCAAGACAGGGTCAGTTTTAAACTCTGATGAGTGCTAGCAGATCCACAGAAAATCTCCAAAAGCTCTGTAAATTCTTTACATTCACTGATCCCCGCATGCTCACTTATGTAATGCTTTGGCAGATAACACATCTTGTGTAACATAATGAAATGCTTGCGATTGACATTTTCCTTGGCAGAAAATGTATTTAATCTGAAAGGCCCTCAATCATGTTTTTTTCCCATCGGTAGTTATGGCTGTAGTACCAGATGAGGTTAGGAGGATGACACTAACTAGCCAATGTGTGTCTTCTGGTTTTTCTACTAGTTAAAAAATTTGTTCAGTAAGATGAGCCACTCTTTTCACTCTCAGGCATCTTACGGACATTACTCTTTATTGCTCTGTATAACAATTGTCAGGATATTTTTTAATATAACTCTTAATTTGTTTGGCAGAACGAATAAAGTTATATACACCTAGGATGGCTTGAGGGTGAGTGAATCATGGGGTAATTTTCATTTTTGGTTGAACTAACCCTTTAAGGAGCGTTACACGTGTGCATGTGCAACAATATTGTTTAGCACTTTCCAATAAAACTCTGTAAAGCTTCTTTGGATTTTTACAAAATTATCTTTAAAATACAGTATCCTGAAAAAGCTACGTTTCTTTTTTTTTTGCAGTTTGTGTATATACATACATACACACAATATGAACAGCACAACTGTTTTCAACATTGATAATAGTCAGAAATGTTTTTTGAGCATCAAATCATCACATTACAATGATTTCTGAAGGATCATGTGTCCGCTTTGAGCACAGGAATACAGTTTACAAAATATATTCAAATAGAAAACAGTTCTTTTAAATTGTAATAATATTTCACAATATTGCTGTTTTTACTGTTTTTGATCAAATAAATAAATCAAAAAGAAAAAGAGACGTCTTTCAAATCATCAAAGAGACCTTATGATCCAAACTTTTGAAAGATAGTATAGATTTGAAAGATAGTATAGATTTGAAAGATAGTATAGATGTATCTAGACCCTCTTAAGAAATATGCTGATTCTCTCTTATAAGAAATGCATTACATTGGTTTTGACGTCGACTGTAGGAAAAATCTGCTTTCGCCCTTAATGTGCATTTTTATTGCAAAATAGCAATTGCCCTTCTCTCTCACACACATCGCTCTTTCTTTCCCATCGAATATCATATAAAAGAGGTCTTTGAGGATTCTGTGTTTTCTGTGGACCATCATGACAGAAAAATCATTCATGCCTAATAAAATTAAAGTCTGTTAAAGAAAGACGACTGTGCTTATGCTACGAGGACAGTTTGTCTGCACAATTGACAATGATAATTGCACTTCTCTATGGAGAGGACTCATTTATGACATTTCACCTCTTGGCTTTTGTTTCCCTCCGTTTGTTTACTACTGCCATGGAGATGAAACTGAGCGCCAAGCCTCTGGGGAGCGTTTCAGTGAACCTGTTCACGTTCGGCAAGCACACAACAGAGCTTCACCATTCATCATTGTGCCTTATGATGTTCTCTGATTTTGAGATGTTTTACAAATAGGAACGTTTTCATTCAAACTGACTGGAACTTATGGCCAAATGTAGTTTTTTTTTTTGGATGGTTTCTCACTTTGAACATGGCTCATCCAATCTGAATTTAGTCTCTGAACTATCTATATGATTAGGGTTGCCCTCTAATAGTCGACCAAACATTAGTTGTTTAGAAGAGGCTAATGCTGCCTTCATGTGCTTTTGTTTTGTGTACACACAAATATTTTGGTAGCACAAAAAAAAAAACCTGCACAGGAAGTGGCAAAGTCACACAGTCCGTTAACACGGCTGGCCCATATGGTAATTATGTCGGGCAGGAAATTCAAATGTTCGCCTATCATTCATCAACCTCAAACATGCTTATCATTTGAAACATGTAAGAAGTATCCTAACATAAGCCACTTTACATGACTGCTTGCTCTAACATTAACCTAGATAAATATGCGCTATTATTAGTGAAGTGAAGTGTAGCCAAGTATGGTGTCCCATTTTTGCTGCGGCGCCTGTGGAGTGATTGAGGGTTAGGTGCCTTGTTAGGTACCTCAGTTGTGGGTAATGAGAGTGGAAGAGAGCGCATGTTCATTCCGGGTTCGTCACTCATTTGGGTCCCCTGGAAACATTTCCGTTGTGGTCTGTGGTGCTATTTGCAGTGCGTTTCTGTATTTGGTTGTGTTGTGAGTACTTGGAGCACACCTGAAACACCTGTGAAACTGATGATTTGCGGGTGTTTTTCTATTTGCATGTCTTTTCTTCAGTTGCAGCGCGTTGAGCTCTCTCGGCCACCGTCAAAACAACATCTGAGATGCTGTGCAATGAAATTGGTCTACTGGTTAGTCCAGTTATCCAATCACATCCTCTGTAGAGGCAAAGCCAAGCGAGTTTTTTTGTTGCGCATCAAGGTATATATTTGGTGAATGTGTTTCCATCATAGTTTATATGCGCATGTCTTCTTATCGAATAAAAAAATGGTGCATCTTGGTGTTTTCATCAAGGTTTACTTTGACGATATCCCAAAATTTGCTTAAAAAATAGGTTGATGGAAAATGGCTAGTGTTAACATATTCTTTCTCAGCTCTGAAACTAAAACCATTTTACGATGCCCCCACACACACATTTAAGTAATTCAATTAACATCCAAACCTGCGACTAGTCGACTAATGGCTTAAAGAAACGATTACTAGTCAGCTAGAAATCGGTGGCAGCCCTACATATATTAACATTGACACTTTCGGTTCTTTAGTCAGCCAGTTTGTCTGTCTGCCGGCTGTTGTTTTGGCCATATATAGTGAGTACCAGGAAGGGATTTTTCCCGCTGCAGTCATGTGCTTCCTGTTTTCCTCTACTAACTGCAGGCTTTCTGCTTTGACCTGAAGAATGTGTCTATAGGGTGAAAGGAAACACTTTTAGAGTACTTATACGATACTTGTTGGGTGAAAGTGAACATGCCTTGCCTTACCTTTTCCATGAGGCCGCTCCTCTTGTACTGCAGTCCATCCTCCAGCCTACATCTTTGTGTTTTCAGCATAACACAATTAGCTCTACCTGCGTACACGGGAAAAGTAAACAGGCGAACGGCGGGCCCTGTTTCTGTTCCATAGATCTAAACAACCGCAGTCATCTGTAATCTGATCGCTGACGATAATCCAATCTGGACTGCGTAATCTGTGTACACACAGTGTGTGTGCGAGTATATTTGCTTTCCATTTCGTGACCGTGCGTGTGTGTGTGCCTTCAGGGTTTACGCAGCCTGTCCTGTCTCTAACCTTTTGGCAAAGGATTATTGGATGCGATGGTTTCTCAGGGATGGACTTCCCCAACATACTTTTCATCCATCAGGGAAAATCAAAAATGTGTCTTTGTACTTTTTTTTAAAATTTGTATTGTTTTTTATATGGTTAATCAACATCATGTCATTGTTTCTTATTCAGCGGGGGCTTTGAGTAATAAGCGTGTAATCGTTTTTCATTCATTGTATGCTAATCTTTTCCCATTTGATAAGTAAAAGGACTGTCAAAATATATCTTCAGTGCTTAATATGTCAGATCTCCTCTGAGCTGAGTCAGTCCACCTCCCACCGATCAGAGCTTCGACCACTGCAGTTATGATGACACACAGAAGCAGGACCAGAGCCATTATAAGTGTTGTTTCTAAATAATGCTTTTACCCCTAACCCTAATTGTAATGGCAGGTTTTGTACAGACATGCGCTCACGTTTTCTGAAGAAAAAATACTGTAAATCTCTGTATTGTTATATTTTCCTGTGTTTTATCTGATATAAAGCCACTCGATCTCATGTGTAAGGGTGTGTCTGTCATCTGGATGTAATAAAAAGGTTTCTAGGCCGAGGTGCCGGGGTCACATGAACACAATCAGACAGAAAGATTCCCAGAAACAGGGCTTTCCCCTGTGATCTCCGTCTCCCCCGTTCTGACTGCCCAGAACATTCTTATAAACAGTCATCCCACATTAACATCACATAGAGGTTGTGCAACTAAGTAATTTATTTGAAGACATGCAAGTTGCTAAACATGACGGTGGTAGTTAAAAATGGGTGATTTTTCTTCAGCAGTGGAAACCAGCTTGTGTTTTGAGTTTCCGTCAGAAGAACTTCCTGTGAACATATGATGACGCCCACAGTACTCTGATTCAATTGAGCTAATTTGACACCCACGTTATGCTTTTCAAACAGTTGGAGTGGACATATCAGGTCAAGAGTTAATAAGCTTCTAAATATATATAGGGATGGGTTTGTAAATAAATAATAAGTTTCTAAACATAGGGATGCACTTGCAATATATAGGGATGCGTTTGTAAATACAGTGGTCAACATTTGAAGTGGATCAAAAAAGTTCATCAAAGTTGTCCTAAGTATTGTTCAAAATTCATGTATAACTTTGATGAAAGGGTTTGATCCACTTCAAATGTTGACTGTAGACAATGTATTGTAAATACATCCCTGTGTTTAAGAAGAATTTCTAAACACAGGGATGAATAGGGATGCATTTGTAAATATAAAGGCATGAATTTCGAAACAGGCATGAGTTTGTAATAGTAATGCATTTGTAAATAAAGGGATTCATTTCTAAACATAGGGATGAGTTTGTAAATATATAGGGATTTATTTCTAAACATATAGGGACAAGTTTGTAAATATATAGGGATGCATTTCTAAACATAGGGATGAGTTTGTAAACGTATAGGGATTCATTTCTAAACATAGAGATAAGTTTGTAAAAAATATAGGGATATATTTCTAAACATATAGAGATGAGTTTGTAAATATTGGGATGCATGTCTAAACATATAGATATAAAGATGGGTTTGTAAATAAATAGGGGTGAGTTTGTAAATATGTCGGGATGAGTTTATAAATATGAAAGGATGAGCTTCTAAATGTACTGTATAGGGATTAGAAGCAATTTTTTAAAATTCTTTAAATCTGCTTTTTTTTGTACAACTTTAAGAAATGTATATTTTTCTACACATGACACCGTAACAGGTTTCTGGCTTCCTGTTGAGCTGGACATGAAGAAAGCGTGGTTATGATTAGTCAAGAAGCACTCTGACCGGTTCAGTGAGGAAGTGAGTGGTTAGGCTGATTAAAACTGCCATTGTAGATTCAGTAGCAGTGATGCTCTGCTGGTGAATAGCGTTGCAGAAAACACTGTCAGGGTATTTTTTATAAACACAGATCATATAGACCATTACCATTAATAGAACAGATTGTCATGAACGTCTGTTCTGAACAAGAACCGGTTCTCTGTTCCTAACCCCGTATTTGCTAACATGCGTGATTTTGTATGTGTGGGTGTGATATTATATCAGATAAATGATCTAATCTCTCTTTGTTCTCTCTCGATACAGTGATGATATTCCTCCAGACGTGCTCCGGCAGAGAGAAGCCAAATGGCTGGATATGCTGAACAGCTGGGACAAGTGGATGGCCAAAAAACACAAGAAGGTTGGACACTGAAAAACAGGCCTGTGTTTGTCCACAGGTTTTATTTTTGTTCTCGATTAGCTCAAATTCTTTAGAGAATGCCGTAATGTTCATAAAACGTTCAACAACAGCAATCATGTTCTCATGATGTTATCTTAGGAATTTGACTACACAACTCACACCGTGTGCTTCACAAACTATTTAATAGAATCAGATAAAGTTATGACCAGGCCCGCACAAAATGTCTGTGACGACCACTAGTCTCTAAATGTTAAATGGCTTTTTTACCATTTGCTTTTATGATTGTCATTGATGATTCTCTTGGTGCTCAATCTCTCTCCAGTGACTAACCTTCCAGACAAAACACTGAGCCATTTCACAAGTTAACAGCAGCTAGACGCCACATCTGCAGCTCATGCATAATTACTGTAATTCAGCTCGACAAGGCCTGTCGCGAATATTTGCGATAACCATAATTATTCCAGTTACATTTTGCCATCAAAATAATGTCATTTTAAGCAAATATAGAAATGAAATACTCTTTTTTTATATGTCTGTTGCTGGTGCGGTAGTGAGTTATGCAAGCACACTAAATGAACACTCGCACTAAAGTATAAATGAGGCTTATGAGCGCAAGTGCTCAGTTTAATTTAATATTTGTGTAATGGCACATGGCAAATGTCATTGGCCATTAAGGGTCGTAGGTCATCCTAAAATACAAGTGTAAAATCCCACTGTCTTTCTCCATCTCTCCGAAGGTGAAGTTGCGTTGTCAGAAGGGCATCCCTCCATCACTCAGAGGTCGTGCTTGGCTTTATCTTTCTGGAGGCAAAGTGAAGAGAGAACAGAATCTGGGCAAATTTCAGGTGAGACTGAGAGTATCTCCAAGGTTTGTCCACTCCAACCTTTGGGTAGCACCACGCCACTGTTCCGAAATATCGTGATTATGCCACCTTCTGAGACACCTTATTTCAGCCAGATTTCTATATTTTCAGCCAACATTTTCAAGCAAGGATGCAAATCAATCAAAAGTGACAGTAAAGAAATTTCTATTTTAAATAAATGCTGTTCTTTTGAACTTTCTGTTCATCCAAAAAAACAATGTTATCATGGTTTTCACCAACAAAAAAAAAATTTAACTGATAATAATCAGAAATGTTTCTTGATCATCAAATTAGCATATTAGATTGATTTCTGTAGGATCGTGTGACACTGAAGACTGGAGTAATGATGCTGAAAATTCAGCACTGGAATAAATTACATTTGACAATATATTAAAATAGAAAACAGTTATTTTAAATTGTAATAATATTTCACATATTATGTGTATAATATCTGTGCGCATTATGCATTTTAAAACTATCTCAAATCTATTTATGTTTAAGTCAGAGTTTAAGTCTTGTGCTGTCATTAATGAGTTATCATTGCATTTTGGGGTTTAAAAGGCTATTCATATTCAGTAATATTATGGATTTAACTGCACTGGCACTGAAAACAAAAGTGGATGAACACTACTGGCAACATCTACGCTGTTATTGGATCAATATTGAACCGACTTTTAGCTGAATAATTTGAACTTTCGTAATTGATAAACGTTGCAACGTTGACAGTTATTGAAATGAATTGAAACCAAAATTGAGCTGAAAAATGTCAGTATTATTCTGTCTAGAGCTACTTTACACTACATTAACACTTATTTTCCTGTTTTATCAAAGTGAAGCTGCTCTGAAACAATCTGTACAGTATAAAGCGCTATATAAATAAATGTGACTTGACTTGGCAGGAGTTGGACAGTCAGCCAGGAGATCCTAAATGGCTGGACGTGATAGAAAAAGACCTCCACAGACAGTTTCCCTTCCACGAGATGTTTGTAGCTCGAGGAGGCCACGGGTACGTCACTTCACCTACAAGCCTCAGCCTTTGAACCTCGTCCCTTCTGTTACATAACACATTGACCTGTGTGTGTGCAGGCAGCAGGATCTGTTCCGGGTGTTGAAGGCATACACACTGCACAGACCGGAGGAGGGTTACTGTCAGGCGCAGGCCCCTATAGCCGCAGTGCTGCTCATGCACATGCCTGCTGAGGTTCGTGTTTGTGCTCCTCTCTGATCACTCGCACGCCCCTCGATGCCTCTCATCAATCATTTATTGATGTATACAGTTATCTATTGCAATGTTTTATGTGTTATAACAAAACACTACAATTATCAGTAACACTTTATCTGAAGCCTTTATGTGTAATACATTGTAAACGTATTCATAATGTACGTTGTAATGCATTATTTATGTTCATAAATAATTCTAACCCAAGTTAAAATGCATTATAATATTTGTAGATTCCTTGTTACATCAATTGGTTGTTTGTCATGTGTTTTAATGCATTATATGCTCTCAAGGTGTAACAAGGAATATATTATAAGTATTCTAGTGCATAATAACTGTGGTTGTAATTATTGATGAGATCATACAATGCATTATAAGGCGCTTTACAGGCATAATTACAACAATGAAAGCATTAAAATACTTTTATAATGCATTATATATAAAGGCTGCAAGTGTTATCGAATCACTATCATTATTTATATACATATAAATGCAGACACACATATATATACATCGTCATAAATACATATGTGTAAATATAAACACACACATTTATTTATATATATTTATATATGAAAAAGACTAATATTTCCAAGTTGACTAGCAGCAGGAGTATCGTTTAATTGACTGGTCTCTCACATCCCTAATATACATATATATATATATATATACACTCACCGGCCACTTTATTAGGTACACCTGTCCAACTGCTCGTTAACACTTAATTTCTAAGCAGCCAATCACATGGCGGCAACTCAGTGCATTTAGGCATGTAGACATGGTCAAGACAATCTCCTGCAGTTCAAACCGAGCATCAGTATGGGGAAGAAAGTTGATTTGAGTGACTTTGAACGTGGCATGATTGTTGGTGCCAGAAGGGCTGGTCTGAGTATTTCAGAAACTGCTAATCTACTGGGATTTTCACGCACAACCATCTCTAGGGTTTACAGAAAATGGTCCGAAAAAGAAAAAACATCCAGTGAGCGGCAGTTCTGTGGGCGGAAATGCCTTGTTGATGCCAGAGGTCAGAGGAGAATGGCCAGACTGGTTCGAGCTGATAGAAGGGCAACAGTGACTGAAATAACCACTCGTTACAACCGAGGTATGCAGCAAAGCATTTGTGAAGCCACAACACGCACAACCTTGAGGCGGATGGGCTACAACAGCAGAAGACTCCACCGGGTACCACTCATCTCCACTACAAATAGGAAAAAGAGGCTACAATTTGCAAGAGCTCACCAAAATTGAACAGTTGAAGACTGGAAAAATGTTGCCTGGTCTGATGAGTCTCGATTTCTGTTGAGACATTCAGATGTTAGAGTCAGAATTTGGCGTAAACAGAATGAGAACATGGAACCATCATGCCTTGTTACCACTGTGCAGGCTGGTGGTGGTGGTGTAATGGTGTGGGGGATGTTTTCCTGGCACACTTTAGGCCCCTTAGTGCCAATTGGGCATCGTTTAAATGCCACGGACTACCTGAGCATTGTTTCTGACCATGTCCATCCCTTTATGGCCATCATGTACCCATCCTCTGATGGCTACTTCCACCATGTCACAAAGCTCTAATCATTTCAAATTGGTTTCTTGAACATGACAATGAGTTCACTGTACTAAAATGGCCTCCACAGTCACCAGATCTCAACCCAATAGAGCATCTTTGGGATGTGGTGGAACGGGAGATTCGCATCATGGATGTGCAGCCGACAAATCTGCGGCAACTGTGTGATGCCATCATGTCAATATGGACCAAACTCCCTGAGGAATGCTTCCAGCACCTTGTTGAATCTATGCCACGAAGAATTGAGGCAGTTCTGAAGGCAAAAGGGGGTCCAACCCGTTACTAGCATGGGGTACCTAATAAAGTGGCCGGTGAGTGTATATATATATATATATATATATATATATATATATATATATATATATATATATATATATATACATATACATATATATATACACTCACCGGCCACTTTATTAGGTAAACCTGTCCAACTGCTCGGTAACACTTAATTTCTAAGCAGCCAATCACATGGCGGCAACTCAGTGCATTTAGGCATGTAGACATGGTCAAGACAATCTCCTGCAGTTCAAACCAAGCATCAGTATGGGGAAGAAAGGTGATTTGAGTGACTTTGAACGTGGCATGATTGTTGGTGCCAGAAGGGCTGGTCTGAGTATTTCAGAAACTGCTAATCTACTGGGATTTTCACGCACAACCATCTCTAGGGTTTACAGAGAATGGTCCGAAAAAGAAAAAACATCCAGTGAGCGGCAGTTCTGTGGGCGGAAATGCCTTGTTGATGCCAGAGGTCAGAGGAGAATGGCCAGACTGGTTCGAGCTGATAGAAGGGCAACAGTGACTGAAATAACCACTCGTTACAACCGAGGTATGCAGCAAAGCATTTGTGAAGCCACAACACGCACAACCTTGAGGCGGATGGGCTACAACAGCAGAAGACTCCACCGGGTACCACTCATCTCCACTACAAATAGGAAAAAGAGGCTACAATTTGCAAGAGCTCACCAAAATTGAACAGTTGAAGACTGGAAAAATGTTGCCTGGGCTGATGAGTCTCGATTTCTGTTGAGACATTCAGATGTTAGAGTCAGAATTTGGCGTAAACAGAATGAGAACATGGAACCATCATGCCTTGTTACCACTGTGCAGGCTGGTGGTGGTGGTGTAATGGTGTGGGGGATGTTTTCCTGGCACACTTTAGGCCCCTTAGTGCCAATTGGGCATCGTTTAAATGCCACGGCCTACCTGAGCATTGTTTCTGACCATGTCCATCCCTTTATGGCCACCATGTACCCATCCTCTGATGGCTACTTCCACCATGTCACAAAGCTCTAATCATTTCAAATTGGTTTCTTGAACATGACAATGAGTTCACTGTACTAAAATGGCCTCCACAGTCACCAGATCTCAACCCAATAGAGCATCTTTGGGATGTGGTGGAACGGGAGATTCGCATCATGGATGTGCAGCCGACAAATCTGCGGCAACTGTGTGATGCCATCATGTCAATATGGACCAAACTCCCTGAGGAATGCTTCCAGCACCTTGTTGAATCTATGCCACGAAGAATTGAGGCAGTTCTGAAGGCAAAAGGGGGTCCAACCCGTTACTAGCATGGGGTACCTAATAAAGTGGCCGGTGAGTGTATATATATATATATATACACACACACACACACACACACACACACACACACACACACACACACGTGCGCGCACACACACACATATACATATGTTTGCTTGAATGGTTTAAATGCTTTGAGTACAGAAGCAAGTTAAGCTTATACCCTGTTCTGGTCTCTTATTCCTTTATGGTCATGCTCTGGTAGGATGCATTCTGGGGTCTGGTCCAGATCTGTGAGAAGTATCTGCCCGGATACTACAGCGCAGGCCTGGTAAGAGCAGACAACACACAGTCCTCCTCCATTCAGAACTTCTCTGCATGCTGTCAACCCTCAGATCCACACAAGAGCAATCAATCATCCTGACAAAACACTCGATCAATCGCTGACAAGATGCTGATGCTCTCAGGTTGTGTTTGCACTGTTCTGCCAAGGGAAATATGCTGATGTAGAGAGCTGTTGTTCAGAGTGATCAGAGTTCAAGGGTTGCTTCTCTTGTACGCTTCACAGCCTGTCTAACCCTGCAGAACTGATTAACCATGCTCTCCTAGTCTCAACAAGACTTCTGCAGTACAATAGCTACTTCAATTGGGATTTTATGGCTTCTGGTTGTTAGTAGCGTGAATGCAATTGAACAGAGGTGTCAGTGCTGTTTGAGTTTACTCCCAAAAAATAAAGGCTGGCCCACACATAAATTTGTTCAATCTTTTCAGATTTTCAAAATGTGAGAGACCACAAACATGACGATAAAAAAATCATCGTTTTATGAGTTTTGTTCCTATAGTATGTGGAGTCAGGAAAAGCACTAAGAAAAAAGCACTAACAAGAAAAGCACTAACACTAGCACTAAAGTCCCGACTGTGAACAAAATGGCAAAATATCACAGTCAAACGTGACTTTGACATCATCTAACGCTCACTTAAAGTTCATTATTAAAAACACTAATAATTTAATAGCATTAAACATTAAATGCAATCTAATATAATGTATATAGAAAATCTCGAAATGAACATCTTTTTTTTCATATAGTAAGTACACTATAATGTTGTGATGCCTAAATTCACTTGTAGCATTTAAAAAAGTTAAATGTAAAATAAATGTAAAATGTTTGATTTCAGTTTTTTATTTATTTTGACCAAATATAACATTTTTACCGGTATATCAGCCATTTATCAGTATTGACCAGAATTTTATGGCTAAATGTAGTTTTGATTTCTGGAAATTCAATAAAAAAAGTTTGTGGTAATGCCTTTTTTTCATACATTTACAGTTGAATTTAATTTAATGTCTTTTTGAATTTTGAACATATAAAAAATATAAGATTATTAATAACGAATGATAAAACTGGCTGCTTTAGTTGAACAGTTGAACTAATATTACAAATCAGAAGTTTGGACTAAATTTGGAAAGCTGGGATGTTACTTAACCAAATGCAAACTATTAAACTCCATCTAACAAACACATCTAACAAGTTCTACCTGGTCTCGAATTGTTGGGTACGTCCCGCTCTGAGAGTGTACTGTCTAAAAACAATTTGATGGTTTACAAACAGTCCTGTTCTGGTCAACAATTCCTGACACAAAACAGGTTAAACTGTTGCTGTAGTTATCGATATGGCGACCATCATGCATTTAGGTGTCGGGATTAAAATAGAACTAAAAGAGAAAAGGGGCTGTTCCATTACCAGGAATCCAGTGCAATCCCGCATTATGTGAGGGCTTTTGTGTCTGACCTTCAGGAGTCAACAGGCAAATGCTCCAGAGTGGGCGGCAGGGCCCTGCCTGTCAGATAAGGAGTGAACTAGATTAAACCAACATCAGGATCTTTCTCTCTCTCTATTGCTCTTTCTCACTCGCTTCTGCCTGCGGGGTTTCCTCTTACCGTTTCTGTTGTTAGCGTGTGAATTGTTGCTGTCAAAATTTGTTTAACCCATCCATGTTCGCAGTGTCAGATTGTAGAAACTTATCAGCGAAACTGTTCATTCACCATAGATCATTTGCATGCTGGGAATCTGTTTAACATGAAAAGTGGTTATAGGGAAATGGATCCACTGCAATACATCCCAGACTTCATCTTTCTTTGTTTCCTACCCGTCCTCGTCTACACAGGAGGCCATCCAGTTAGACGGCGAGATCCTGTTCGCTCTGCTCAAGCGCGTGTCCCCGGTGGCCCACCGGCATCTGAAGAAACACAAGATTGACCCTATCCTCTACATGACAGAGTGGTTCATGTGTGCCTTCTCTAGAACGCTGCCCTGGGCCTCTGTGCTGCGCGTGTGGGACATGTTCTTCTGTGAGGGTGAGACTTGAACACCATGTGCGCTTTGTCCATTGTTGACAGCTCACCCCTCCACAGAGGGATTTGCACCTTGCTACTTGTGATATTTACTTGCAGAGTGCAATAACTTGATGCCAAAGCAGATGTGTAAATATTTAACATGCTCACTTCAGAGGGGTTTCCAGAAAGCAAGGTTAACTTACAGTCACATACACCCTGAACTCTCAAAGCTTGCTTCCTCGAGGTGTGCAGGTTCCAAAACACACATACTGCCAGTCAAACCTACTCATTTTTTATTATTACTGGGCACATTTTAGAAAAACAGTAAAGCTATTTAATGTTAATAATATTAAATTAATACATTTCATTTATTAATTTTATTTTATGGACAATCAATTATGAAAACACATTCATTGCATGTCCGTTTCCTGTCGACCGACGCTTTAAAGGTTTTTGATATGTTCTAAAATAAATACTCAGCTACCCGAGACAGCCCTAGACTGATACACAAGTAGTGCAAACGTTTCTATGGCTGCGTTCACCCTGCGAGCCTTAGTGCCGAATTCCAATTTATTGCTCAGATTCGTCTTTTTTTGGTATAGCTGCGTTCACATTGTTTTAAATGTGGCCAATATCAGATTCCAGAGTGAACAGATCATCGTCCAGACTGACCCGCATGCACGAAAGAACGATAAAAAGACGTCACGCAGCAAGGTGTCAAATGGAAGTAAACGCGGAGTACATCAAAGCAAGTGATTACGTGTTTATTTATAGAGTGATTTGCCGTCAAAGCCAGCGAATTTAAGCGCAGGCCATATAAAAAAACAAAGACGAGGATGCAAAAAAAAAAAGAGTTTTTAAACATTTATGATATGAGCCCACGTTTTGCTTGTATATAGAGCTGTCACTGTAATACTTATGAGCTCTGACACATCACTGTCCTTCACTAACGTCGGGTATGTCAAATCTTTGAAGTAACTCCCATGAGTGCAGAATTGTGACGAATGTTGATCCAGAGTGACATAAATGTCGGATGAATTCCAATACGACTGTTCAGACCGAGGTCGCATTGCAAACCATCTGACCTGTATTGGATTTAGCACCACATATGGAAATGACACGAATCAGTATTGAAAAAGTCATATTCCGTGTGGTTTGTGCCGTTCACACTGTCGTGACAAAAAATCTGATTTGGCAAATAAATCGGATTTGGGCCACATTTGCCTGCAGTCTGAACATAGCCAGAGTTGCATATACACTGTTACCTAATGGAAATGCATGTCTGTGTGTGATGCAGGAGTGAAGATCATCTTCCGCGTGGGTCTGGTGCTCCTGAAGTGCATGCTGGGATCTCAAGAGAAACTGAAGGCGTGTCAGGGCCAGTATGAGACCATGGAGCTGCTCAGATCTATTGAGCCACGATACATGCACGAGGTTTTCCTAGTACAAGAGGTATCGCACACATATACCATTACGTGTTACACTTGAATTGCAATTTAAAACACACGCATGCAAAATAACTTTTTTTCTTTGCCATGTTTTTCGCTGATTAACAATGTAGAATTCTACCACTGGAATTGTTGCATATTGCATAGTTTTTCTTATAATTATGAATGAATAAATGAATGATAATTATGAATAGAAATAGTAGTAGGTATACATTGTATTCTGTGCGGTGTGTAGACAGCAACAGCCAAACATAACCTGTGTCTCCCCCTGCTGGTTGTAACATGTCTTTTTGGCTCAGGCCTGCCTTGAGTACCATTTCATTTGCTGTGTCATAATCCGCAGAAATTGACGCTGTTGGATGGAATCCTTGCATCTTGATATTGCATCTTTCCCCCCCCCACAAATCATTAGCAGAGAAAAAGTGTCTAATTTTAGCATTTGTTGTCGATTCATAGCCTATAAATAGCATAACATAACATTATAACATGAGATTTTTGCCAAATGACAGAAAAACTGAGCGCCCACATAGCCACAATAAACTTTACAACCTGTACGTTGATGAAAACGTAATGCAATGCACTTTGCTGCCGTTCTGATGACGGACAAAACACACATGTACAAAATTATCAGAAATTCGCCAAATATAAAGCCACAATATCAACTTTGGGGCGGTTTACATGACACCGTTTTCAACTAAAAACGTTAAGCTATTTATGCGTTTTGGCCGTTCGTTGACACGACAACAGTGTTTTGGGAGCCTGAAAACGCAAACGTTAGAAAACGGGTTTTAAAGTGGACGTTTTAGAAAACGGTCTCTGTGTAAACAATAAAAACGTGAATCTCTGAAGACGATGACGTCATGCACATGCGTATTACGCATTCAGTCTATAGTGTTTCATCGCCATCTAATGGCCTGACAGAATACAGCGTTTTAATAGCTTTCGTGGATCAATGTGAACGGGGATCATTTTAACAATGTCTGTACGCGGAAAACTCAAGGAAAAACTTCTCACTTTTAAGCATATCGTTGTCGTGGAAACGTACCCTTTGACAATACAGTATTTTTTCCCTTTTCTATTATTGTTATTGACCATTTTAAGACGTATATCTCCCTCTCTTTTGCCCACCCTGTCAGGTCATTGAATTGACCGTGTCTGAGCGAGACATAGAGAAGGAGCACCTCTCTCAGCTCCGGCGCTGGAAGGAGACCCACGGAGAGCTGCACTGTAAATCCCCACCCAGAATGCACGGCGCCAAAGCCATCATGGCCGCCGAGCCGCCCAGTCGCCAGGAGCTCAAACAAAAGCCCACAATCATCGTCGAGGCACCGCAGACCACCGAGAGCCAGGCGGACAAAGGGAAAAAAGCCAAGAAGAGCAAAACGGAGAAGAATAAAGACACCATTAACACCTCGCCTCCCCTTAATCCGTACCCGTTACCCAGAGACCCAGCACTGCAGAGCGGCAACCTCTCGCAGCTCCTGCAGAAAGACACACTCCTGCAGAGCTCCAGTCAGAGTCTGAGCAGCGCAGAGCACGACACGTACCTGTAAACCTGTTCACTGTGCTAAAACATCTGGCATCAGTCCGCTCCTGCCTCCCCACTCTCAGGATTTCCCATCAGAGGGGAGTTCACATGACCAAGCTATACTTGTGGGAGTCACAGTCACGTAGGAGAAGTTATTACAGAGGATGCCACTTTACATCATGAGCTTTAAAGTGTGTTTACTGGATTATATGTATATGTGCATGTTTGGAAATGAAATGAAGGATAGCCAAAAGCAACTCTCAGATCTCTAAATGAAGCGTTTATGAGCTGCGCTGGATGCAGATGTTCTCATGCGGTTTAAACTAGTTATGGTTCCTGTACAGAAGACACACTGTAGTGGGATGCAAGTACATTTCCTCCATCTTCCTCAGGAGATTACATCTGTCTGTTTTTGTTCTTGAATAGTTATGCCTAAATGAAAGATTTTTGTATTTGAATTGCTTATAAAATGTTCATCCTTACACAGTTTAAACATAAATGAACGAATACATTTAATATGACGCAGATTTGTCAGTCATACATGAAACGGGTCAGATTTCTGTAATAGTACTAATAAGCTAAACGTTTTGAATGCACAATAACCTGGTTTATATATTTATCATCAATCAATCCAGTTTGTTACATTCATGTTAACTGATTGAATATTACTTGTTCATACTTTTTAACTGAATAAATGTAATTATTTTCACGATTTATGCTCATTATAAGCAATTTGGATGAATATGTTTTGAAAATATTTCAATGCAATGAGTGCAGAAATATTGCCCTTTTTTTCCTGCTCTATTTATGTATGACTGACAAATGTTCATCACATGAAGTTTAATGGGTTTTTTAAACTGCGTAATTCAAATGGATGGACATTTCATATGCAATTCAAATATCTTAAATTTAGGCCTATATATAAATTTTTTTGAGTGAATGGTTCTCCCAAAAAAATAACAATGTCATCCTTTTATCAGTGGAACCAAAAAACATCAATTTTGAAGAATCTTTACACTGCACTTTTCCACAGTGACCCATCTGGCGTTGAAACGCCTTACAAGTTAATAACTGTTAGGTCAGTGTAAATATTCTTCAGAGAAAATGAGAGTGAGTAAATAATAATGTAATTAACTCTTTAAGTACTTGTCATTAGCATCAAAATGAGTGGAAGGTTTTGCATCTGCCTGGCAGAAAATACTTTTCTGAATTCAGTTGTAATTCATTGTCTTGACCACTAAGGGGCTCTATTGAGCTTCTTTTTTTTTCAATCCCAAATTCAGTTGCAGTTCACCTTCTTGAACACTAGAGCAGAATTGGGAGAGATCACATCAAATGACCAAAAATTGCACAGATTCATTGCTGAAAACATGGACTATATCAAACTATTTAACTTAGTGCCAAAATGAAAACAGAAATGACTATTTTGCTAAATAGTTTTGAATTCCCTGCAAAAGTCAGTCGTAATCAATCCACTGAATGAACTTTTGGGAGAATCATTATATGAGGCAAGAAGGTTTGCACAGATACTGTGTACATGCCCTGAGTATGTTCCAGTTATAATCATCTTGTATTTCTGTTGCGGTCCAATGTTATCTTATGTGTAAGTTAGCTGTGTATACATACATGACTTTAGACTGTCAAATTCTTGACCAAGAGATTGTTTTTGCACATTGCCATCTTGATTTACTACAAATGAAGGCATGCTGTAGGGCACAATACTCTGACCTTTTGTAGGGTGAAGAAAAAATTATATTTTTTAAATATCAATGATTTATTTTCTCTGATGTAAATAGAATAGCCAAGATTATTGTGACACTATGAGACTTTTTATTTCTCTTCTTGCTATGGCTTCTTGTAAGATATGAGAATTCATGGCAAGATTTCTTATGTATTCGCTTATTGGTCGAGGTGTAGACATTTTTGCTGCAAGTCATTTTCTTTGAGAGGAGGTGGTCTAGCTCATATCAGATGTTATTTCATTTAACTGACATCATTCACCCAATATTTCACTATGAGGAACCACAAACTGACACTTAGTATGCATGCTTGATCTCTGTCGACTGCTGAATTGTATGCGCTGATGATCCAGGTGTCATATTTATTAAGCTTTTTAGAGTTAGGTTCAATACTCTTGTGGGAAATCACATGCATTGAGGTTGAGAAGGTATTCTCATATAGATTTAGTGCCAAAAACAGTGCTGTACTAAAGCTATATTATATTTTTAATGAGAGAAGCAAGCATATTCTTAATTTTGTAACGCTTTATTTTCAGTGTCCTTGTTACACTACATGTAGTTACTGTAGTAATAACAGTAAAATATGCATAATTACGTGCAACTAACCCTAAACCAAACTGTAACCCTACATAGTTCATTATTATTACTCAGTAATTACATGTATAATTACACTGTAACATGGACACTGACATAAATTGTAACCCTTCATTTTTGTAATCATATGTTGGTAACTTTACAATTAGGTTCCATTAGTGCATTAACTAACAATGAGCAATACATTTGTTACAGGATTTATTAATCTTTGTTAAGATTAATAGGTAACACTTTATTTTGCAGTGTATGTTACATAGTAATAGCTATGCATTATGCATAGTTACATGCAACTAACCAAACCACACCCTAATCCTAACCCTATTATATAGCCTAGCCTAATGTATAATCACACTGTAATGACACCTTAAAATAAAGTGTAACATATTAATGCTTTAGAGTATTTCATGTTAACAGTTAACAAATGCAACCTTATTGTAAAGTGTTTGCCATATTTACTGGTTTCGTTGATGCAGTGGTTCAAAGATTTACGTTTTAGATCCCTTGAAAGGAACCAGCTGAAATCCAGCACTATTTGGGAGAATCCACACGTCACTTTGAAAAGAAATTAGTTATTTTTGATTTAATTTCCCTGTTTTCTTGCTCATTTACACTCAAATTTGTACATCCTCCTGTATGCAAATTCAAGTTTGAGCAGTTTTTCATGAAATAAATGTGATACTCTCAGCTTGTCCGTTGGTGAATGGTTGTTTGCGTCAGTAATTAGTGAGTCAGGCAGGGTGCGGAGGGAAGAGTGCGAGGGAATGAGGGATGAGGAGAGGTGAAAGAGGGTACTGTGGCACTGGACACCTGTTGTCTGAGCTCTCGGAGATTTGCATGTCAAAGGTGCTGGCGTGCTCCCCTCTCCGCATCTCCTCATCACGGCGTTTCCCAGAACCCCCTCCTGTCAGCGGATGTGCCGAAGTGATCCAAGCCCGTTCTGACAAATGCATTAGTCAAACCTCAAATAAAGTCAGTAACTGGGGATTCAAATTTGCTCTGAAAAGTTACATTCTAACTTCCCTATACATCACATTTTAACGTATGGGGTGTTGATATTGCAAATTGGTATTTTTTATATTATTTGAATGTATTATTGTTATAAAAATAACAAATTCAAACACGGCGTCAGGCTTAACTAAAGTATCCTAAATTAGTTTGCGGTTACACTGTTATATTTCATAATTCAAAATCAGCAGCAAAGAAATAAACTTGCACGGGTTAATTGTTAAAAGACTAACGTGCACTAACAAAGTAAACCGGGTCAATTTGGACCCATAATGTAATGAATGCATAATGTTTTAAGTTACAGTAAAACAAAACTTGAATTCATCAGTTCTGGCCAATCACAGGTTATGCCTGTTGTTCAAAATGTTCATGAACTGCAAATGTTTTATTTGTCATTTTTTGTGACTTAACAAATTTGTAGTATAAGTCACCATGAAATCAAAAATGACAATATTTCTTTCATGGTATATTGCAGTATTTATTAAAAACGATTTATTTGTGCATGCACGTCATTTTTTTAAATTCATGTGTCCTCTTAATCTTTAATCAAAATAACTTCCCCTCCCTCTTGCAACACGTGTCTACTGGCGTGAGGGCGGGGCAACCTGTCACTCACATGAGATCCACCAATAAAAAAACTAGATATACACTCACCTAAAGGATTATTAGGAACACCATACTAATACTGTGTTTGACCCCCTTTCGCCTTCAGAACTGCCTTAATTCTACGTGGCATTGATTCAACAAGGTAGCTTGACTTCGTCATACTCATATTCTAGTCAGAATGTGAGTCTGATACTGCTCCATAGGGCTTTGATTATGAGGCGTGTCTTAACCGAACCAGGGAAAAAAAAAACTCTGCACTCAATTGGATAGACCTACAACCAATCAGAGCAACGCAGTAAGTGTTTTTTTTTATGAGCTACGCAAAGTTGTCAACAGAACTCAACTACACGCACGCTGGAAGAAGTAGTAAAATAATGAGTGTTGCTTCTTTTACTTGGTCCTCCATGAGTGCGACCAAAGGAGAAACCACAACGACCACAGGGTTTTCATTGCGTCCCATTTTCTTAGTTTCTTAGTAGCCATCAGAGGATGGGTACATGGTGGCCATAAAAGGATGGACATGGTCAGAAACAATGCTCAGGTAGGCCGTGGCATTTAAACGATACCCAATTGGCACTAAGGGGCCTAAAGTGTGCCAGGAAAACATCCCCCACACCATTACACCACCACCACCAGCCTGCACAGTGGTAACAAGGCATGATGGATCCATGTTCTCATTCTGTTTACGCCAAATTCTGACTCTACCATCTGAATGTCTCAACAGAAATCGAGACTCATCAGACCAGGCAACATTTTTCCAGTCTTCAACTGTCCGATTTTGGTGAGATCTTGCCAATTGTAGCCTCTCTTTCCTATTTGTAGTGGAGATGAGTGGTACCCGGTGGGGTCTTCTGCTGTTGTAGCCCATCCGCCTCAAGGTTGTGCGTGTTGTGGCTTCACAAATGCTTTGCTGCATACCTCGGTTGTAACGAGTGGTTTTTTCAGTCAAAGTTGCTCTTCTATCAGCTTGAATCAGTCGGCCCATTCTCCTCTGACCTCTAGCATCAACAAGGCATTTTCGCCCACAGGACTGCCGCATACTGGATGTTTTTCCCTTTTCACACCATTCTTTGTAAACCCTAGAAATGGTTGTGTGTGAAAATCCCAGTAACTGAGCAGATTGTGAAATACTCAGACCGGCCCGTCTGGCACCAACAACCATGCCACGCTCAAAATTGCTTAAATCACCTTTCTTTCCCATTCTGACATTCAGTTTGGAGTTCAGGAGATTGTCTTGACCAGGACCACACCCCTAAATGCATTGAAGCAACTGCCATGTGATTGGTTGATTAGATAATTGCATTAATGAGAAATTGAACAGGTGTTCCTAATAATCCTTTAGGTGAGTGTATGTCACAATAGGGAAGAAAAGACTATTGTAACTTCCATTTTATGTCGATTTTAAGTACGGTTTTCAGTTTTAGTGCCACTAAATGCTCTGCTATGCAGTGCAGGAAATGTGACTAAAGCTTATATATCTCATTTGTAGAAAAAAATCAACTTACTCATCAAAACCTGTCGCATTCATGCTCTTTTTTATGTGCGAGCAATTGCATACAAACTATGCCTGGGACTAATTAAAACAACTCTTTTTTTCTCTCTTTTTTTCTTTATTATTTCTGTCAAATGCAGTACTGGGGTGCTATGACCGGTTGGCAAATTTCCCGCTCTAATTCCAGTAAAGTGATGTATCGATGTTCATTTGTTCCTTAAACCGTTGACAGTTCGGACTGATCATGCTCACTGTGATTTGTAAAATCGCCTAAAGTCAGCATGAAACACAAGTTGCGATAGTCTTTTCT